TGCAGCTCAATTATCCAAATGAATAGACACAAGCTATATAAGGGGCATGTGCATGTCTCTGTGTATGTGTGTTCTGTGTATCTGCCCACATGCGTTTGTGTGTATGTCTCTGAGTGCTCACGTGTGTTTACGCACATGCATATCTGTGTATTACTGTATATGAGTATACGCGTGTTCTATGTGTGTGTCTACATGTGTGCTCGTGTGTGTGTCTGTGTGTGCATATTCAGGCCCCAGGTACAGCACGTGAGTGCCCTCTTCACACTGGAGAGAATCCTGGGCTCCTCTGTGCCCCAGCACTACCATTTAGCAGCTTTGCTTCTTGAGCAGGTTACACAGTTTTTCTGAATCTGTTTTCTGATCTATAAAATGGCACATATAATACTGTAAAGCAAAAGGACAAGCAGTGTTTTTAGTCACTTAGCCATTTTAGTCATTAAACTGAATTGACTGCAACTCCACAAAATTTGGTTATATTTTATTGTAGAATATTCAAGATGATTTGCCTCCCAAACAACCAAGTGTGGTATCCAAATGCATAGACAGTCCTCATGAAAATATGTATCACCTGGATTAATCCTCACAGCAACTCCAGGAGTGAGGAGCCGTTATCTCCACTTTATAGACGAGGGAACTGGGATTTAGAGGTGAAGTAATCTGCCCACAGTCGCCCAGGGAGTTTTTGGAGGTCTGGGACACAAACCCAATTCGACTCCAAAGCCAGGCTTGCAATCACTCTCTCCTTCACCTCACCATGGCCCAAGGCTGTTGTGAAGAACAACAATGTGATGGTTGTGGAATTGGCCTTGGCATATTGCTTCTCTTTACTCCACTAATGTTTGCCCTTGTAGGGCAGCAGAAGTTGCTACCCCAAAGTGTGTCTCTTTGGCTTGATTATTTTTAAGAAAAAAAGACTCTGAAAGAAACTTTGACTTTCCCCCTAACTGCTTAAAAGGATTGAAGACAGAAGGCCTGTTTCAGGAAAGAGCTATCACCACCGGATAACTATAGTATGAACTAGGTGTGGGACAGGGAGGAGCCTAGTGAGGTCCATTTGATCAAAGTCCTCTCCAAGTCTCATTGTCTTTGCAAGGTATGGCAAACATTTGTTGACCAAACATTTGCTTTTCCATCTCCACGTGAATTGCCTTCCTCCCCTTTAAATTCCAAAACAACCACCGCCAACATCCTCCTTTGTCTTTAGCTGAAGACGGTATTTAAGGCTTTAGCCATTTTAGCGAGTTACTCAGTTTTCCTGGGTTTCTCCCATGTATACATGTTGTTAAATTTGTTTGATTTTCTCCTGTTATTCTGTCTCACGTCAATTTCTTAGGCCAGTCAAGAACCTAGAGGGTGGAGGAATATTTCTTCCTCTCCTACGCCCTCTTCTATGACATGTCTGTTTCTCCCTGGTATCCCAGCTGGTACACAGTTTCTTAAAGCCAACCCTCCATTCTGTCCCAGTGGAGACACTAGGAAGAAGGAGGCACTGGGGGAAACTCAAACTGGACATACAGTGAATGCCAGCTTCACTTGGACGTGCACCTGCTGACACATCTTAAAAGCACCTGATGGTACCAGATTTGTCTTGCAAGTTTCTGACAGCCACATAACTGCGGCATGCCACTGCTCCTGGTATTCTCCCCAGGAAATGACAGAAGGAGAAGCGCTGGGACACGACTGTTAAATCCCTTCCTAATCTCTGGAGTCTTATAAGTCCTTTAACTCTTCAAACGTTGAACCAAAGAACTTGGCTCACAGAAACATTATGGTCACAGGAGGCCTAGGGAGTGTGCTATTCAGAAAAAGAAGGGGAGCAAAAATGCTGCCAGGGGATTACCTTGAAACTGGTTTAAATATAATCAGTGGGCAACAGAAGCAAAGTCCTATTTAAAAAATTATTATTTTTGTTTAGCGAGATATATAGACTCAATTTTGCACAGAAAATTGCATAGGAAAAAGCCTCTCAGTAGAGCCATTTAAAAGCAATTTAGTATTTTTAATAAGGCAAATCTTTCTGATTCTCAACTATTTAGCCATGAAATCTTAAAATCCAATAAAGTCTGTTTTCAATAAATGCTCCTTTACAAATTTTATTGTCCACTTAACAACCTAAGAACGTTAACATTCTTTAGACACTTAAATTTAATCATAATGACAATTATTGAGCTTTCTAAATGCCCTTCGTGTAACATGTAATTTAGTGCTTATAAAATATGGGTTTGCTTTTTTGACATTTTGTCTCAAAATTGTAAATAAGGTCAATTTACCCAGCAGCCTGCAAATTTCTAACCAATTTTGTCTTACTCCCAAACAGTCATTTAGAAACATAAAACACAATATATTGCGTGACAAATAAGAATACTTGAGAGGTTTCGCATTTCATTCATTAACAGTTCTTCGAAGGATTTGGGCAGGAGTTAGTCCCATCACAAGAGTGCTCAAACCATGGCGGAGGAGAGGTGACAAGGCCAGTGTCACTCAATGAGCCAGAGGTGGGGAGCAATTTTCCTCAAAATAAAATTTCTCTCTCTCTTAAGGGCAGTGGACAGTACATTTGGACTAGCTCCAGGCTCTCAGCTACATTCCAAAGCCATGTGGCCGTGCAGAGGCTCAGATTCTTCCTCTAGAAGCTAAAGATGATCATAATACCTACCTCATGGGATTTTGAGAAGATTTAATTCAGCATAATATATGAAAGTATTTGCAAACTCCAAATCTTCCTCTTTAAAGGAAGTATTAGCATCTTTATAGTTGTATCTCTGTACACCTGTTCTGGCCAGGATCAAATATACAACACTGGCCTTGTTTGCGGCATAATCTCTCTCATTGTTTAAAACCACCCTTTTCCATTGTCATAGACTGGTCATCAAATGTTTACCCTGGTCCCTGAGAGTTACCAAAATGTGTGAACAAACCAACACAAAACCAGTCTACTGCTAGAAAAGCAAATTCGGCATTGATGTGTCTATTGATGGTGTCTTCTTGGCCACCATCCGATGCAGCCCCTACACACACACATCCTGTCTCCCCTCACAGCTTTGTTATTCTCCATGATAAGTTTACCATCATACATATACCTTATTTTACTTATTTTATTTATTTGCTGTGTCCTCCATTAAAATGTAAGCTCTACTCAGGCAGGAATATTTGTCTGTTTCATTCACTGTCATATCCCTCAAACCAAAAATAATGATTAACATATAGAAAAATGAATGAATAATGTCCAGCACATGACCATTATAGAAATTCTCATGTATCTGCAGCCAAAGGAAACCTGGAAACTATTTGGAATGGCTCATTAAGGTTTACATTGCTTTTAATGTTTCAGTTCAGCTATGTCAAAGCCCATAAAACAATTCAGTTATTTTTCATATTTTCTACTATTGGCCTTGTCAACAGTTTCTTATTCAAGCTATCTTTGTCCTTTCTGTTTTTCTCTCTGTGAAGAGGGAGTATAGCTCATGCCTGAGATACTAACCTGGGATTTATAGAAAAATATAAGCTATAATGAGGGAGTATTATAGACTAAATGTTTGTGTCTGCACCCCCCACCCCCTAATTCATGTGTTGAAACCTAATCCCCTATATGATAGTATTTGGAGGTAGGGCCTTTGGAAGGGGCTTTGCACTCATGAATGATATTAGTGCTCATATAAACGAGACCCTAAAGAGCTCTCTTGCTCCCTTCCCCATATGAGGATGCAGCAAGAAGACAGCCATTTATGAACCAGGAAGCAGGCTCTCACCAGACACCAAATCTGCCAGTGCCTTGATCTTGACCTTCCCAGCCTCCAGAACTGTGAGAAATAAATTTCTGTTGTTTATAAGCCACCTCGTCTATGGTATTTTGTAATGGCAGTCCGGAGAGACTAAGACTGGGAATTTCCCCCTCCCTCTGTTTGAACTTACGTGTAAATCCCAAATCTACTCTCCTAAGCACTTACCCACCATTTAATGTTCGTAAATTTCCATTGTATACTCAATTGCAAGAAACCAAAGTGTGACTATAAACAGCACTACTAATATACAGGCACAAAAATTGTTACCACCCTCTGTTCCCACAGCACATGGGAGATCTGTCAAATTCTTCTGCGGCAGATTGGAAAGAGGGGGTTGTGTTAGAAGTCATGGCCCAACTGCTAGTGACGCTGTTTCCATATTTTACAGTGGGAATCACTATTTAGAAGACTCTAGCTTTGTTCATTAGCTGCAACAGCAGAAGATGAGCCTGTGGGGACCTTTAAAGGGAAAGAACCAGTGGAGCTGGAGCAGAAGAACTGGAAATAAAAAATCCCACGATAGTGTTGCTTCCATAAATCTGTAAGAGGGACTTTCCACTATCTTTATACAATCGCACAGAGACTGGATGAGGTTTGACAATGCAGGAAAGGGACACTTCTTTCTAAATTTAATGCCCTCTGGTCTCTGGCTCCTTGACTTTGAAAAACCACTTCATTTTGTAGGATTTTTCCTAAATAAAGCTCTACTTTGCTCACACGGGAAGAGACAGAATGTGATTCTATTTTCACTTCCAGAGCTCGTGCAAACACTTATTTGTTAGACGTTGTTGAAGAGAGTGTAAAATGATGCAGATGGCAGTGGTAAAGTGTCTTACTGTCATCCTGTCCCACCTATGATTTTGCTGTTTCCTTTGCGACCTTCACTTGGCCACTTCTCCTCCTTTCAGGGAATTTTCCAGACAAAGCCTGTGATCGGCTTTCTACAAGTTAGAGACACAAAAGGCTTTAAACTTATCATGTCTATTTCCAGAAAGAAAGACACAATGTAGATGGAGAAGAATGCCACGTTTGAAGACATTTGCTTCATCTGGACAGTCTAAACGCGTCTCCAAAATGCGCATATATGCTACAAATACATTTATTTCTCTTACTCACCTAAGTTCTTTGGTGCTTTAACACAAAACAAGTGCTCACAGTAGGAAAAGTAAGCTCGGCTTGGGCCGTTATAATTTAGAACATGCAGAGAAAGGCACTCACCGGCACTGACAGTGATAGCTTCAATAAACTGCTCTCTCCAGCTGTTTGTCCCAACCACAAGGGCTAGGTTTGTCTTCTTAATAAGTTTGTCCACCGTACTCTAGAAAGGTTGAAAAGAATAAGATAATAACTGCTGGGTTGGTTAAGGCCTCGGGAAATCTAAGACCTCGTTGATTTTGAAACCCCAGAATTATATAAAGGGTAGCAGATGTTAGGCTCAGAACAACAGTATTGACATCAAACACTGTTATGTTTATGCAAACAAGCATAGTCCTTACTTGGAAACATTCTGAAGTGGAAACTTCATTGCAAATATAAGCCTCCCTCACCGCCTAATGGCCAACAGAGAATGGCCTCAGTGTTTAGAATAGCAGATGTTGCAAAAGCCCATCCTTTCCCCTCGAAAACCTTATGAACTTGTTTGTCTACTGGCTTCATTTATATGTGCTGTCTGCAACCGAAGTAATATATTCCCTGCTCAGCATTACATATCTGTGAACAACCAGAAGTGGCATATAGATTAGGAGACTAAAAACTGTTATTATTGGACTTTTGTCCAATGCAGCCAGACAGCAAAGCCTCAAAGATTGCTGCTGCATGATCATCAATAAATCAATTTTTCTTTGGCTACTGATATTGTCAGCCTGGTGGCTGTTAAGAGAATTCACTCTTACCCTATTCCTGCTGCAAACAAGACAGGACAAGACAAGAACAAGTCAATTTGTGTGGTGTAGGGCATGGGGCAATTTACCTTGCACTGAATTTCCCTCTGCTTTGCTAGCACTGAGCCTCTTCTTTTTATTTTTCTTTAGACCTTTTTTAAGCACTTGGTTTTGTACAATTAGCACTCTCTGGCTTTCTAAATGTCAGTTAATGTAACAACAGGAGCAGCCAAGCATTCACAAGAAAACTAAGTAAGCAGATGCACCCAAAGCACTACTACAAATCATAGCAACTACAGGAAGAAGGGTCACTTCTGGGACACGAGGCTACTCTTCCCAGAGAAGCCACCACATCGACTAGTCTACCACACGGCCACACTTACTGTCAGAGCATCCTCGAATTCCCACTAATTGCAAAGGGGCAGAAAAGATGTATTATTTGTCTTAGGTCAAAATCTGTACCGGTTTAACACAATGTACCTGAATTGACTATGGTTTGAGAGAGAGAGAGAGCACATTATCAGCTAACTGGGAGAAAGGAAAATGTGATCTGAGGGGACTGTACAGAAGGCCAAAGCTAAATCAGAACATCACGTGTGTTAGTTCAACAAGAGTCATTTGACTTGACTTGAAACATTGAGATGATAATAAATATGAAAGGGCCCATCTCCAACTGGCCCACTCTGTACTTTCAACATCAGGCTTTGCCAGATTGATTGTTCTTACGGTGCTGACCTTCCAGCCTCTAGCCTTGTGTCTAGAACTGCTAGTGCCCCTGATAATAGCTGTGACAGTCACTGCTCCTGGCCACCATAACTCGAAGCACATGACAAACATCTGTCTTTTCTCTCTTGACTCAGCCGCATCTCATCAAGCACTCTGACTGTTTTGGCTGATGCTAATTCAATGTTCTGTGTAGAATGTCACAAGAAACGACCTTGATTTTTCCTAAATGCGACAGAAACTTGGGGCAGGTCTTTCCAAAGGGGCACCTCTCTGTTCTGAAGCCAAGGCAAAGAATCTCATCGTCTGGGAGACAAACAGTCGAACAGATAAAGAGCTGTAACAGTTGAATACAAACTTTATTCAAGAAATATCTCTAAAGAACAAAGATTTAAGATAAACTAAACTTAAAATTTATATGTGTATATATGTGTGTGTGTGTGTGTGTGTGTGTGTGTGTGTGTGTATGTTAAAGCCAGGGTAGATTGTAAACTTTAGTTCATGTTAATCCTGGGGGACTCTGGGATTGCCTGGGTTCTTCCTAGGACTCAATTTGTACGTGCCCTCCCTTGACCTACGGAAGGAGGGAGTGTGAATAAGATGAATTTGAAGTTCAGACACCTGCACTTGGACATTGCCATCTACACTTCCCTAAAGGTTTCCTAAAGGCCAGTGATCAGCTCTTCACTGCACTAGACTTATAAGAGATTGTTACAACCTCACCCTGAGCAACAGGTATTAGGAAAGCCAAGCCCTTAGTCACCACATAGTAAACAAGTACCCAGTGGGCAAAGCACAGTGGGACATGGTGAGGTGTCACCCAGATTTGGGTCTTTAATGCGGTTCTCAGAGTTCTGCACAAGTTCTTTAAAATAGCTGGAAAACAAATTTCTTAAAAGAATAATATAATATCCAAATTGATTCTGGAGGGCACTTCAGAAACATGGCCCCAAGGTACCCTGTAGTGCTAACAGTAACTGTACTGATGAACTTTGAGGAGATGCGAGGGAACAGTGCATAGAAGCTATTCTAGGAAGATAAGCACCCCGAACAAATGCACTTACGTCAAGAGACTTGGGGGACTGTCAAACGTTCAGATCATTGGAGAAGTTACCAGAGAGAGATTTGGACCCAAGAAAGCTTTGCTGCCTGGAAGACTGTGACGTGCTGTACCCAACCCAATGCTTCCTGAAGGAACTTACTGTGATTGCTTTTCCTAGTCATGGGTGCATGGAAGGGGAAGGTTAGCGGTTGTCCTAGAAGAGAGAATACACAGCTATTCCCCATGAGAGCCCTGGGAGGGGTAGAGGGCAAGTTTGTACAGACATGCCAAGCTGTAGAACTTCTGATGCAGAATGCGGCACCAGGCCCTCTGACTCCAGGCGAAAAAAAGATGCGTGAGGAAGAGTGAGGATGGACGCATCTGGACAGATTGGTCCATAGAAATAGACAGTCTGAGATGTCTGTACCTCTGGAACGACAGGGAACTTTTGCATGTGCTAGTCACGGGTGTGCGGTGAGCCAGGTTCCGGGTGAAACAACAGGTGGGCTCTGATGGCTGGGGTCTGCCTAGAAAGCACTGATCCCAGGGTTTACCTCTGCTTTTTCCTTCCATGGAATGAGTGAAAGAATAGTTAACAGATAGACTCACAGGAGCCTAAAGGGGAAAATTTAATTGCATTTTTATCTTTTAAAAATACACTTCAACTGCAAAGACATTTTTCTTTCCACCTGTCTCCTTTCAGGTACCTCAATTTATGAACTAAATTAAAAAAAAATTAACGGGCCCAGCTAAAGGAAAAGAGGCCACTACTATGAGAAATCCAGATAAAATACTGAGGCTTCTCAGTTGGTAGCCTGAGTCTCCCTTTTGGAATTCTCCTTTTGATTTTCCAAACAAGAGGAGATTCTACTTTTGAAAAATAAGCAAGGGACATATTTTTGTGCTCTGGGTTTGTACTTCTCGAAAGCCAGAGAAAGGATGCTCCTTTCCCACTACAGAACTAAGGTGGCTCTACTGGGGTCTTCTCAGAAATTAGCACCATGTGAGTGAGATAGGATGGGAGGTGGGATATGGACAGAGGGAGCAGCTAAGAATGGACAGGAAGTTTCATCTCAAAGTCCTAAGCTTACCCTACGGCCCATTTGTTTAACTTCTGAAAACAACTTTCATTATCTAGAAAATTGGAAATCCAATTTTATCAGCTCAATTATAAACTCTCTGGTTCCAGGCATTATACCTTCAATATGTTGACAGTATGAAAATGTCCTAGGATCTTAAGAGGATGACTAAATATAAATAGAGTTTGTTAATGTGATGTACCAGAGGAAGAGCTTACCACCCCCTCTCCAATATAAAAGCCTCCTGATTTTCAGCACTGTGAATGCGTTGCTTCTAACAGATTGAGAAGCTTTTTCAAATAGAGCTTGGTTTCTTCCACACATGGCAATCTCTTGGAATCCACCTTTGCTTCTTCCCTGCTCTCCCCTCAGAGAAAGCCCTCCCTTGGGGGCACCTCCGACCCTGTGCAGGGATGGATGCCAACCCCCGGATCCTGGTTCTGATGCTGTTTGGTTTGCAGGACCTCTTGGTCCCCTACTAACTGTCTAATTCCAATTCTCCTCCAGAGGCCTCTCAATTAATGAGCCAGTTGCTGAAATTACATCGGCCTCTCTTTCCAGATGGATCTTACAGTGTAGGCCAAGGCTATGAATAGTCTTGGTCCTGAGATGGGCCCGGCCTCCCCAGTGAGTGGTGTTGGTGAGCATACCTTGAATTCATAGGATTCTTCAATGATCACTTCCAGCTTAGTGTGTTCTCCCAGAATGGGGCGCCCCATTTCTGCAATGCGCCTCTCCTCTTCCTCTTTGCTGGTCAGTGGCTGCTTGTCATCATATTCGTCTGTGGAAGGGAAGGGCAAGAAAGTGAGCAGGGGACTCAATTTTATTTGAAAATCCCTGGATCCTGTTAGAAGAAAACCAAGAAAGAAGTCCTAATGACCTCCTAAAAGTCCCTTGGGTGAGATTATAACGCTGGAGGAGACACTTGGCGTATCAGGCAGCACATCACTGTGATAGCAAGTGATTATAATGTCCCACTAAGCACATGCCATAGTGCAGATCAGGAAAAGCAACTTACAGGGGCACATCACTGGGAAAGACTTTGCCTGCACATTGTCTATGCTGAGGGAATCACCCAGCTGTCCCCTGTGACGCTGAGTCATCTGGCTGTTTGTACACATTCCTTTAGCATGCGACCAAAGGGAAACACAATTAAAAGTGCTAGACTCAAGGGATGAAGGAATCTGGCCGCCTCCTCTCCACTTTCTAGAGGCAACAGGAAATGCCCTAGGGCCAAAGAAATGTGGAAGGGAAATTCTGATCTTAGCCTCTCACTGGCCAAGAGCCCCTGTTGCAAGTTAAAAAGCAAAACATCCATTCCATGTTTCCGTAAGATGCCTGGGCTCCAGGGCTTCCTCTCTCTGCTGCAAAGCTGAGATGTGTTAGGAAGACCTATGTCACTCTTAAAGCATGTCAATCTTAAAGCAAACTAGGAGGGCAAGGGTGAGACCTTTGGGAGTTAGTACTACTCACCAAGTGAGCACGATTATTTCCAGAACCACCATGTTGCTTACACTCCAGGAGACGCTAGCGGGTCCTGAGAAAATGTTAATGGACTTGAGAGTCCATTAATGAGGGGAAGCTCACAGGGGGTTCCTCTCTGCGTGAAGGTCACTAGGATAAATCCCAGACTGAAAAGGCCATGCACATGTGAAGGACAAATGCTGCTCCTGTAATCACTCAGCCTTCATGCCCAGGATGCTGGAACAACTCAGGCCACTTCCCCTTAGAGGCAAGTTGAATGAACCTCATCGCTAAGGAAACAGAATTGGTGGTATAGAAAGACCTCAGCCCTGATGCCCTTGCTAGAACTTTCCAGGCAAACTGTCTGCAGCAGGAGTCTGTTGACTGAGGAAACATCAGAAATGGAGGGACTTATAGCCCAAGCTTCTTGTCTTTTGCATTTAGGCGTCAGCTTCTGCAGAAGTCCACACCCCCTATTCCCTTCAAAGACAGATGGTTCCCTCTGCTGAGGGACCCTGCTGTGGTGGCCCCATGTGATGTTCTAGCAAATGTTGCAGAGAACTGGTTCCTAGGCCATTCGTTCACTGCTAGGACACAGAGCAGATGGGCTAGAGGCACTGCTGGCATTTCATAGACCAAGTGTCAAAACCAACCAAAGGCAAAAGCAGAATGCAGCATGTCAATTAATTCTTTACTATGTATTCAATAGTGTCTTTGTAAAAGGATATTTCAGAATCTGCTTTCCTATCCCCAGTGATTACAGGGCCCCAAAGAAATTAGATAAAGACTAAAAATAAGTGATTTGGGGTTGGCCAGAAACTGTTGATTATTAGCAGATGCAAAGGAGAGGTGCAAGGAGATTAATTTAACTGTAAAAGTGGTAATATTTTTTAAAGTAGGCTTGGGAAGTCATGACTCAAGGGAAGACAAAAGGTTCTGATTGGCATGCCCAAGATTTGTCCTTGAAACCATGTGCGTGTGGTCGAGGGAGTGGGCTGAGATCTGTGAAGTCCAATTTACCCAGTGCTCAAATCAATCCTAGTTTGAGTCCCACTGCTTTCTGATCCCTGACCCCAGGATAATGTTATTGGTAGTTTTCATAGTAGCAGCTTATGTCAGTCTCTTTTTTCAAAACCTAGGCTGAACATGCTTGTCTTGGAGACTTACATCAAATAAGAATTATTTTTCCAGAGAAGAACTATCACAACTTGGCCTTTTATTTGAATTGCAAAGTCATCGGGGGAGAATATTTATTATGGCCCCATTTGCTGTAGCTTACTTATAAATAATAAGGTGCTTTTAACGGGATTCAAGGAAATTTAGGTAGAAAAATAGAGAAATTCCAAAAGAAAGTTGATACGGTGGCAGCATTTAATGCTGCATTTCACAAAAAGAAATTTTTTGGAACATGGTATTAAATAAATGGACATGGTAGTAAATGAAATCGAGTCACACAGCGATTCAAGTGAAAAGGTTATTCCCTTTTTAATCATCCTTCAGTCCTTGTGATCAAGAAGAAATGCTTAGTTTGGTGCTGTTATGTCTGTAACTAGTGCCTGACATTTGGGTTTCTACCAGTTAAGAAGCAGAAAACAGTTCTGAGGCATCAAGCATTTGACTATTTCTAGCTAGAATTTAATAACTATTTTTCCCATTCTAAAATTTTTTTTATCTTATTTTCTATTTATGACAAATGATACTAGTTTTCTATTTGCGTTAGTGACAAAGTTTCCTTTTAAAAATAATCTAGTGAAGTAAAAACATGAGGCAATTTCAAAAAATTACACTAAGTAGATAATAGTATAGTTGGTATGCAGTCAGATCAAATATTGTAAAGGAGGTATGAGAATGACCAAAATTTAGGAAATACTGTCTTAGATTTCATACAAACTTAAAGAAATACAGGGCGCATTGTTTCTATCACTTCCTACACTCTTGCTCCAAACCCGACTTGAAATTAACACAAACTTTCATCTCATTGTCTACCCTCTGGAAAGGCTTCCCTATTTCCCTCTAGCTAAATCCTACTTATCTTTCAAAATCCCACCTCTTCTTGCAAAAATATCCCCCGATTGATGTATTTAGGAATGACCACTCTAACCTTAAATTCATTCTTTAATACTCGGTGTGTGTATTGAACAGGGACTCATCTAATATGCTATTTTTTAATTTTTAAATTGCCTTTGCATTCAAACATCCAGCATGTAAACTTACCAAGATAGAACAATATGTCCCATTGCTCTTCAAACTGTCCTCACATCCCCCAGAGCCTATTACAACGTATGATACGTAGTAGGTGCTCAACAAATATTTGTTGTGTGACTCTCCAACTCACTGTTAGAAAAGCCTCTTAATTGTTCTATGCATATGAAGACCATTTGTTCATTTAAAACATGTCTTTGCACTCCTACAATATGTCAGCACACTGAACCCTTTTCCCACTTCCCGGTCCCTCTTCACCCCCCGCCCCTCTGGAAATGGGGTCTGAGTGTCTAGTGGGAAGCAAGGCATATAGATGCGACAACTTCTGGTACAGCAATATAAGGGCTGAGGAACCATGGTGGGGGGACCACACCTGAAGGAGTCAGGGAAGGCTTCAGGAAAGAGGAGATATTTAAAATTGGCCTTGAAGCATGTATCGCATGTATCGAAGCTTGCCAGGTGAAGGTGGCGGTGAGAATGGCTGGGAGGTGCCAGAGTAAGGAGGGGCATTCCAGACAGAGAGAAGTAAAAGCACAAAGGCATAGTGTCATGGAAGGGTCAGGGCTATTTTCACTTAATAAATGTCATCAACATTTAAGAGAGAATTATATGTACCTGAGAGAAGGCAGTTGGCTAAATCCAATTATCGCTCTACAAGGATACTGATAAATTTGCATTTATGGTCCAGATTTTCGACACAGGCAAAGAAGAGAGCTGAGTGTATTTTTTTAAAAGTGTCCTCTATTCAGATACTTTTTATTGAATCAGAAAAAAGTTTAACAGCATTTTTCAAAATCATCTATTCTGTTTGTTTCCTTTTCACTTTGAGTACTGGATCATTTTACTATGCTCAAGTCAGGTTCATTTCCTTACTTATGTAGAGTGATAACCTGTTGTGGTTTTAGTTTTGCTTCTCAGAGAAAATTAATTCTCTCTCTCTCTGTATATGTATATAGACGTGTATACTTTCTAAACTCACCATATTTCATTGAGAAGTTGATAATAAATGACATAACATCATGGTCTTAACCAATCAACACAACTTAAAGATCAAATGCATAATCAATAGCCACTGTTAAAATCAGTATTGACAGGTCATAAAACAATCCTGTAATAAAATCACCAGAAAGGAACCTCCCATCTCCTGAGCAATTGATTTTGCAAATGACAAAGGCTAATAGGTACCTGGGATCTGGGAAATGCAGAATTATGAAAAAGCTGCTGTTAACCCTTTCTGGCTCAGGTTGCATTTTGAAGCAGCATCACTGTAAGAGGTGAAGGGCTGAGACTGGGAGTCCCTATTTGAAAACATGCCCTGCATGGAGATCTGTGCCGGAGGAGCTACTGTTGATAGTCTTTAATGCATTTGCAATTTTTAATCTTAACAAACAATGCAGAACTTGGAAAGGGGTACAAGGCCAGCGGTGGGAGAATTTGCTCAGGGTTATTTTACTCCTTCACTCAGATCTATGCTGATAAGTCTGAAAGCAGAGATCTCTTGACAGTTTTCAGGACCTGGCTGGCCTCTCTGAATAGAGCCTAAGGGGACTGGTACTTTTATTTCCATAAGGAATATTCTAGAACAACTTGAAGTCAGGGCTGGGTATGATGATTATTGAATGGGGATGTGGGAGGTGAGGATGAAGAAAGTCATCCTGGGGCAGGCAGAAATGTTTCTACCTCTACGCCCAGTGATGGGCGATGGTGATTACTGAAGAGTGAACATCTCTGTCCCCATCCAGGGACTTAGAGCAAGGGGATGCTGCACGGGCTCTACCTCGACAGTAGATCTGGGATAGCTGTGTAATCCTCTAGTCCCCCATCAATGTTCCTCTCTGGAGAAACCCCACAGATGTATGATCAGCTGTGCAGATATGGCTAACATCGTGTTGTCTGGAGGCAGGAAAGACAGACTCTGGGAAGAAACACAGCTTGCTTTTAAAGAAACTTCATTAGACTTGGAATGAAAGACATATTTTGAGAAGTGATATTGGCAAGAAATCTGCAATATATTGAACTTAAGAGGGAGAAGCCATTGGGATCAATCTTCTCGGTAGGTCCCTGCAGCTCTCTCTACCACGCCTCCTGTCCTGCGCTGACGTGGTTGTGTTTTGTTGCTCATCCACCATACTCACAGCTGCAGAGAAACTACTGCATTATTCAGCAATGTTTTAGAGGAGAGAGGGGCTAAACTGCGTCACTTTAATGTCTAAAGACCTAAAGAACACTTGAAGGCAGTTAATTTCAAGTTAATTAAACTGTGACTTTCAAGGACCATGATGAAATGAGTACCTGCAATGGTGATTACAGTAGAGGGAATCGGATGTTCTCTAGCATGAACTTTCCTGAAGACAGGTTGGCCTAGCAAGAGGACAGGCAGAAAATCAGCAGAATGGATTGCACTGGTTTGTAGAAGAGTTTTGTGGAATTAGTAAATGAAACATCACACCCAGATGCACATATCACAAGCAATGTTAGTTTGGAGACTGAGTGGTCATAGGTCACTCCTATGTAGGTCGCAGAAGTGAGCAGGTAAAGGGGGCAAGTCTTCTACTAGCCAAACCAGATAATGTGAATGAACCACACACCCCACAGTAGGGGGTACAGCCAGATTCTTGCAGGTGTCTGAAATGGAATATCCAAGGCCTTCAAATTACCGCTTCCAGAGGCATCGTGAAACAATGGAAAGCACTTGATGTAATGACAGGTAGCCTGGTTCTGAAGCCTATTGATACCAACAACATAGCCTTGAGCAGGCCCTTTCCCAAGTTTTCCCACATGTAAAATGAGGATGATAGTACCTTTCTGTCCTCATCACAGGTTTGTTTGAGGGTCAGTACCATAACATCTGGGAACATCCTTATTTATTACCCGGGCAGTCTGAATGGGAGAATGTTGTATGCACTGGCAGGCTTTGCAAAGGTACGTCATGCTCACAGCAACTCTTTGGATTACCTAGGCCTAGGGTTTTCAGTAAATTACTGGTTCAATTGACTGCCAGATCCACCCACTGTTGGCTTCTACCAAGAGCTACCCAGAACTGACCTGGGAATCACGAGACTGGGACTCAGTGCCAGCTCTGCCATATGCTTGCCATCTAAACTAGGGTAAGGCATTTCTCTTCTGAGACTCAATTTTTCTCAACTGTGAAAGAAAACGGAACTTGAAGGGGATTTCTTCCTCTAACCTATGCACTGGTGTGAGTAAAGTGTTCTTAATTGTCAGAATTTCCATAGTTTGCCTTCCTTAAAAAAACCACGTGCTTTATTAAAACTATTACATGATAAGCATAATATGATTGGAACAGTAACTTTTAAAGAAGTATATTGACGGTTATATACTTTCAATTAATTAAAAGTATTTCCTGTTTGGGAAATTCCTCTCTTTTCCACATTGAGCCAGAATTCTTACTTTTTTAAGAAAAATATCCAAATTAATATGGTCTTGCTTCCCCCTTTTGGAGTCCCTCCAGTTTTCATTTGACTGGAATTCATACTGATGGCATTTATGAGACACAACTGGGCTTCGGATTGAGAAGACGTTAAGAGGCAGGTGGGAATGAAGGGGGTTGGGAGGCAGCAAAAAAAAGTGCTGAGGTTAGAACAATCATCACATGGCCTTGGACTTGAAGTCAGAATCCAGGTTCTGAGTCCTGGATGGGTGATTTGCGGTAGATTGATCAATCTCCTTGAGCCTTCATTTCCTCTCCTATAGTGAGAACAATATCATCTTATTCCATAAAGTTGAGGATTAAATCATAAAATGAATAAGAAATGCTTTATAAACTCTCATTAATGGGCTATAATGTATGGGGGCTATTATGTTATGTGCCTCACGGGTGAAGGGGGAATGAGATCATAGGCCCAAACAAGGGCTTTTCAGTGAGGCAAGGACTAGGAACAACAGGTAAAGATTTGCAAATTCCAAAAGCACCTCCAGCACGTACTGTCCACCACTAATGATATCTCGCAAATATAGGTATCAGGCTGTGGGCCAAGTGACTTTTTCAATTTCCATATATTTAGATTTTCACACTCAGCTGCACCACATAAAAGCTGCAGGCAAAGTCCAAGGCTAGATTAATTCTCTCTGCTGCCCCTGCATCTCAAAGCCTTGACTTCAAAGCCTCAAATCGACTTCAAAGAACAGCTCTTTAGGGTTTACAGCTGCTTTTCACCGGGTAAACCTAAGTTTTAGAACTTGCCCCAGGGGCATCTACAGAGAGTGGATCCTATACTTTCTGGCCTGGTTCAGGAGAAGAAGGTCACGTAAAGTGAGAGGAGCAGGCCAATGTAGAGATTCCCAGAGAGTTCTGGAAAATTCTCTTGTTCTAACTGCATCCATTTCAAGTCTTGGGAAGAAACGGTATCAATAGAAAAACTGTTATTTCAGATTAAAGTTTCTGCCATAAATTCTATAACTTAATGAAATACATGAAATGATAGAAACCTTTGGAAGAAGTGGGTCTTTCCTCTTGGATGCAAGATGTGTCCAAGGCAGGAAACATTGGACATGACTGGACAGATATTCTAGAACTTAAATGAACAATTCCTGAGAAACGAAAACTAGGATCTCATTACATAGATACTGAAAAGGAAGATGCTTCATATGATACGGAAGGAAGGCCCTAAAAGCAAAATTCTGACGTATTCAATGATAAAGAAAATATGCAGATATCCAAACACATCAATACAGTTTAATGTGGCATTCTACAGCCAAAGATTTTTAGTAAAGATCTCATTATCAGGCTGCATAAGGCTGAATGTGCTGCTAGATACTATACTCTTTCTACAATGCTTGACTTTTTCTTAAAACTACTTCAAGGAAGCCATGAAGACTGGCTTGCCAAATTTCTACCTTCCTCCAGTCTCACAAGGATAACGAACTTATGGGTGATAGAATCAGAATATTTCCAAGAAGACTTCGATGAGTTAAAATGATGAGATGAGAAAAAGAAGATAAAAGTTTTAAAAGTACATGTAAATTTCTGCGCTTGGATTCAAAAACAGCATCTCAGGCAGTGCAGAATTGGGGAAACTAGATCTGGGAGATTCAGATGAATCAGATTTAAGAAATCCTCTATGAGGACGTGTTCTGTTTCACAGTTTCATCCTTTTCAATTTCTATGTCTCTGAGAGTCCCCGAATCATTTTGTCATTAAAGGCTGTGTCTGGAGAGAAGCAGTGGAGGACAACAGCCCATGTGAAATTGCTGACACACTGAAAGCTCCACTTTGGACAGAATCCTATTGGAATTACTTGATCATGAGTTTACGCTAACAGTGGCTGAAATTAACCCCAACTCCCACCATAGCGTTTTCAAAATTAGAATTTGGGGAAATATTTCCTTTGTAATTTTTGTTCAGCTATCTGATTTCAGAAAAAAATATTTAGAATATTGATATCTGCACAATATATTAGAAAATGCCATGGCCATCAGGATGCCTTCACAGGTACCTTCGACTTGCAGCTTCAGACAACTCAGATCTACCATTTGATATTTATCTCCCTCTCAAAATCTGCATAGATCATTCTGAAAGGGTGAGAAAATATTTAGGGTCAAAAGAGAGGATGCTGTAAGGAAATATCTTCCTTCTGTAAATAGCTTTAGAGTTGTGCTGAATAAGGCAATCGACACAGGCTGGGGTACCATTCTGAATTTATGGGTTTGAAACTTTTTGATTGGCATTTTGAGTTTTTATAGAGCACTTTGTAATGTACTTCAAGTGGCAGAAATATTACTCATTAGCATGTTAAGAATGCTGAAAGTTAAGTCCCCAAAGAGGGGCTCAGACAGAAGTGGGGAAATGAGGGGACTGCTTCTGTCCTATCCCAGCAGGGCCTTATGTATTATCAGGATCCTGAAGTTGGGCCGCGGAGCACTCTGGGATGTCAACTCCTATGTTTCCTAGAGGTCAGCATTGTCTTACTTATTCTGATACTCTCGGGAACATCGAGCAGAGTGCATTCCACATCATCACTGCTATGTGAACGTTTGTAAATTGACCAGTGTCAAAATGTTAATAATTACAAGTTCTCCATAAAAACTTGCTTATAAATAAACACAACGCACGCACATTGTTAACGGGTAAAATGTTAAACGTGTAAAATTAGCAAGAGCACACCATGTGCCACAGCTAAATGTTAACACAGGTTACATAAGATGGGGTTTTGGTTTGAGTTTTAAACCAAATCATTTTAGGGGGAAAATGAGGAACATTAAAAAAAATTGTCTTACCATACAAGTATTTTCCTTCATTAAAAGCAAATAAAAATGAGAAATGATTTTTAAAAATATAAACAACATATGGTGAGAACAGACAGTAAAAAATAAAATTTGATGTCATTAGACTTTAAAAATTCCTACCTGTTATTGTGAAGCCACCTAAAAAAGAAAAAACACAAGATGTTACAATTTATTTAACTTAGACTCTAAATAACAAATACCAGTGACATTAGACTGCCTGACAGCCCATCCAAGGTACAAAAACTTGCCAAATTATATTTACAATTAAGAAAAATCTGAAACCATCTGTTCATGATTTAATCACGAATCATTCTTTTAAGATTATGGGATTTAGTGCACAAATTTAGTTCTTGCGTATACCTCAAAAATCACTGATTTTTTAAAAGGTTATACTAAGCTAAAAATGGAATATAAACCATCTGACCTTAATAAAATGAGGCCAATGGCCCTAAACAACAATCTTGCTAGTAAATCAATAGAACTAAAAGTCAGAAAGCTACTGTACCACCTGATAGAAATGGAAAATAACCTAGAACAATGGAAAGGAAATGCAAGAAATGAAATGCTTACCAAGCTCATTCAATAACAGGGCTGTGAAGGAAACAGACAAAGACAAACACAGAATAAGAGACCAGATGAATAATGAAAGTAAGAGGAATATCAGCAGAAAGAAATCCAGGCAGATCCGATTACAGTGGTAGGGAGCCGCTGCTAAAAAGTTGGTGCACCCTAAGAAAATGTGGCTTTGGGAATATTTCCAAATAAACAATTCCAACACTAATTTCTGTAAATGTGTGTGATTGATTATATATATATATATATATATATATATATATATATATACACAATTCACTTTATATATTATTTTTGACATTTAATAAGACATTTCTACTATATATGTTTACACACAGTGTATATATCTAGTTTTCCAAATATAGTAGAAACATTTTATGAAGTTAATCCTAAATTTTATTTGAGTGAGTCTCCCTCATTAAATATTGCCTGGGAGTTAGTTAATTTAACATATGGAAGTCTTAAATCATTCAGTATCTCAGATATTGTACCCTTTAGTCAATGAAAACAGTTTAAACATCTTGGGAAATTCCATTTTGGCCGCCCTGCCTGGAAGGAGACTTTGGCCCAAGGTACAGCCCTCTCTCTGGAGGTTCTATTTGCATGATATTTTGGCCATCCAGAAATGCTTATGTTGTTTAAATGCTCAAAACTTGAGTTCCAGGAATTAGCGCTTCTTTGTGCGTCCTTATCTATGACTTTTGCACATTACAGTTGGACACACTGAATGCTTCTTGTAGACACATAATTCCATGGAAACTGACAAGGCGGGGCGGTAGGGGGGACATACATAATTTGTCTTTCAGTTTATGTACTTTAAACCTAGACTACACTGTGACACTTTATTTTGGTGAAAACTACCTGGCTAAATGTATTAAACAAATTACTTCTGGAGTTGTAGATGGGAATTTTACAATTACTTTTTCAGGCCCAAGTTTTCCCTCGAATGGTAGTGGCATTATAGGATACTTTCTAAAACAAGTCAGTAATTTTATTTATAGTGACAACAATCCACTTGGCGGGTGTGAAACCGGATAGTGCTATCAAAGAATTTTAATTTGCTTTTACATGAGGGCATATTTTACTAAAAAGACAATTGAAAGAGCTGTATCCAAGATGCTCTTCCTTTAGATAAAAGACAGTTCTTTGGAAGAATACATTTAGAAGTAAGTGTTTTTTCCTGTATGTTAATGAGGCATTTTTTGATCCCATCTTTACAAGAAATCAGTACAATTTTCGAAGTGTCTTTTCCTTCCACCTACTGCCTATGGAGCATATTAAATAGGATGCACTGAAATGGGTCCTCAGTGCTCCTTTCTCCATCATTCCAAAGGCTCCTGTTACCATTTCGAACATGATTAAATCAGGGACATATACTTTTTAATTTTTCTGATGGACTTTGAGGCCAGTGAGTTCTTACAAATGTGGGATTAACTTCCCCGAAATGTTGGGTCCGTAGAGGAATTAGTCCTATATATCTGATTTTTTTCCTTATGTGTAAAAGTATAAACTTCTTGCAAAATGGTCAATCTAGTCATCTCCTAGACTGCTCTCATCAATTGTTTATATACAGTTAATAGCTATTAATATGTAGTATGCTCATTTTACATACGTAATTAAATGAATAGGATTCCTTTTAAAATGGCTACTATTAGAGGATAAATATAGGAAACCCTTGTAATAATTCAGAATAAAAAATTATTTTTCAAGCTGATATAAAATTCCTATCCTTCCTTATCAAATATAGGCCACATAAAATAGATACAAAATTAAAGAAAGCAAGGAAATGGGCTTCTTTGTTCAAATATTTTCTAAAAACGTGAGTACACATCAACCAAAAAGAACTACTTATAAGGATACTGCTGTTTATTTTTTCCTTTTACTGTATCTGTTAGAGATTTATCAGTTCTAGAAGGATCAAAAGATTTTGGAGCATAAGGCTGCATAGGTCTTAAGCAAAGTCTAAATTCTTATTGAAGGACCATATCTTTCCTGCTACAGAAAACTGATATGACTGGTTTCATACATATGGTCCCTTTTAAACGTCATATTTGATGATATGAAAAATATTATGCCAAAATGAACTCTAGAATATCGATAACACTTACTCTTTAAGGATCTTTGTTCTTATTAATTTTATCTTTTTTGAAAACTGGGTTCTCTAAAGAAGCCTAATTATTGAATTCTTCTGAAATTTCCTATTAGCTGCCATTAGACTCACCTACCATGACTCATAGGTATTAAGTAGTCTTTATCACTAACATATTAGGGGTGACAATAGTTGGAACCAAATATTAGAATGATCCTGGAGTAGGGGAAAACTAAACACATAAATCATCCTTTTATGTCATCACTTCTGAATTACAGAAATCTCTTCCAGTATTTAATAAATCTGGTTTCCATCAAGGTTAGTTGACATTTCCCGAAGAAAACGGGCAGGGCTCGGTGCACTTGTGAATTAGGGAAGGGGAATGAAACTGCTAAAGCTCCAAAGGAAACGGAAGTAAAGTACTTGGAAGCGGAGGAAGAGGAGAGAGTTAAGTGTGAGAGTAGGGAGACACAGAGAGAGGAGAGTACAATTTCTCGCTGGTATGTCTTTGTATACTCTCACACCTTTCATTCCTCTTCTTATCCATTTTGGTTCCTCAAGCACAAGGGAGAAACTGCACTCTTTCTCATATTCCTCACGGTCAAATATTCTAATGGTAATGATCTTCCTGTGGGAACACAAGACAAAGGCAAAACAAATGGTTGGAGTCACACGCTCATGCTAGGTGTTCACCAAGCTGAATGTTACTGTGATGTTATGGAAGGAGAACTGGAAACACATGGACCTCCCAAAGTATGTAAAAGGGCATCTTGGGCACTCTTAGCTGCCCCTCTTTAAGTTTTCTTTGCTAATTTATCACTTGCACAAATTCTTCCTGCTTCAATGAGCAGTCAGGAGGTAAATCGTATTAGGAAGAGAGATCAGAAAGTCGGCTTCATTTTGGCGAAGCAAGCATCAGCACCAACTTTCCCAGATACAGAGGCTTGATGGACTGCACTGAAAATTAATATCTCAGACCTATAATGTGCAGAGTGGCCAAAATTGGCTGATGGAAGTACAGACCGGGCCCACTGTGACCCCAGGTGAGATTTATGCCCTGTTACATAGGTGGAGGGATGTGTGTGCTGTAAGTCATGTTCTGAAGAGTGCAGGCATCCAGGGGTGGCGCAGGCCAGCAGAAGCTGTTGGGCTCAGCCCTGGAGCAGCTCCCCCACCTTTCTTCTCACTCATCTCCACCAGGCAGGGCTCTCCAATCTCAAGGAAGAAGGTCTTGTTTTTCTCATACTCCTCATCATCAATTACCTTGACTGATATTGTTTTGCTGAAACAGAGAAGAATAGAAATTGACGAACAAGGGGAAGCGGAAAGAAAAGAGAAGGAACATAGAGAAGAGGAAAGCAAGGTTAATGAGCTGCACTTCCAGACAAACGGCAACTGAGAAACTTCTGTACCATGAGCATCTTCTTCCAGAATGGGTGTGGGATAGGTCTGAAAGATTGGAGAGGTCACCCAATGCATAACTCCCCTTCCCAGGGCCACAGAATTATTTTAGGCAAAACACAGCACTCAGTACTAATACGTTTATCATCATGATGAGAAGGAAAAGCAGAAAAACATAGATCACAATAATAACAGAAATATATATTTATTTAGTAAGTGCCTTAACCGTAGGATTGTCTGAGCTGTGCCTTGGAATTCATTCCTTTAGAACAAATCAGTAAATGACATCAAAACATTAATAGAGGTTACCTCGATAAATAGGTTTGTGGGTCATTTTTTTTGGCCTTCATTCTGCTTTATTGTATTTCCAAACATGATATTTTTATCACAAAATTTTACTAAAATAATAAATGTGCAAGAGAATCACAAAATAGAAGTCGTTTATCTTAGCCCAACCAATATCCTAGAATCAGACTCCCATTCAGGTTAGTCAGATTTTCTACCTAGAGCACAAGGGGAAGTCACTCATGTTTTGCTTGTCTTTCTAAAGATGGAAGCTGAAAGCTCCCAAGAGCTGTTTTGAAAGGTGGGGAGTGGAGAGTCACGATGTTATAGTTATTTTCATCTCTCCCAAAGCCGAGTTTTAACTTTGACAAAATATACCATTTACACTACTTTTAAACTCCACTCATACACCAAGGCATTTTATTAAGAATTCTTCCTGTAATCCATCCTTAGCACCTCTCGCCTTGGTCCTCCGGTTGTGAGTGACTGACAGGCAGGTAGGACAAATGCAAATATTATGCAAATCTCAACTTCCCAGAAGCCTTGATGACTCTGAAAATAAATCTAATGTTGCCTTCTAATTAATAAGGGCTTAATCACTTCATGTATTACAACTTAGAGCCTCCTAAACATTTGTCTGTCCTTGAAAATTTTTTTTTCAGTAACATTGGCCAAGAACATTTCCGACTTGTTTTTGAAACAATGAGTTTATATAGACACACAGTTATAATGTCATGGACCTTATTTAGTTTTGGTGGAATTTTCTAGTTCTTCTGGAAGGAAACTAGTTTATAATCTGTTTTTTAAAAACTTATTGATCGAATTCATCAAGTTTCATTTAGACCTCTGCATGCCAAAGAACATCAGTTTTATTTCATAGTTTGAAGGAGAAGAAAGGAAGAAGTTGCTTTTAATTCTCTGAATTTTCCATCCCCTAATGCTAAATGCTTTAGTCTTGCTTTCTTGGGTTAGCATTGTAGAAGCACGATCAGATGATGGCTTCTGGTCCTTTGGAGCCCCACAAACTACTTTCTGCTCCTCAGCTAAAGAACATCCTTGCATGATGCTCACAACCCAATTTCTCATTACTAGGGAGTTGGAGCTATTGACAATGCCTTTTCTATCTCAGCTCTGTCCTCAAAGACTGTAATACTAAGGCTGGAGGAGAGCTGTAAATGACTAAAACAATAATCTTTTTCCTAGAGTAGATATTTACAAAACTACCAACAGTGTGGCAAAGTTCAACTACATGTATACAGTGAATGGTTCTTGTCTAACTTCTAGAACTATTTTCTGGAATTCACCTATTTACTTAGCATATATTAAAAAAATCATCCTGCCCTGACTAAGCCAGAATATCTGATCATCCCTTAATATCCAAAAAACACAAAATATTAGAGAAAGCACAAGAAGACGTAAGAAATGATAATACATGTGCTTTTTATTTCAGGCATGAATTCGATGTTATAAGTGAGATTAGATTTACTCTACAAAAACCTGCCAAACGTCTATCCTCTTGGTCATCAAACTTCGGCCTTTTAGGTATTAATTTCCATCATACTGCTTTGTAATCATAAACTATAGCTGTACATCTACACTAAAGCATTCAGCATCATAAGACCAAGTATGGGAAAGTGTTGACAGGCATTAGAAGGGCCACGCTACCATCTTCTGGACCTGATTACCCAACATGCATTATCAAGGCACTTCATGGTAAGGTACGTTAAACTGGATGTTACGTTGCAATGCTCTTGCTTATGTTACTTAGAAACATTTGACTTTATCTTTCTCCATCTTGCACTCCCAACCCATCCTGCATCTCATCAAGGATTTTATTAGATTGCAGAAATAGAGAAAGCACAGTGAAGATGGTTGGAGTAGCCTTGCTAATAAGGTGAGCGTTTGTTGAGGAAAGGCTACCAGTTTCATTCCCAAAGGGGAGCATGACCACTTATTTACAAATAAATAGAAGCAATCAAATAACATCTTCTTTCTTATCCTTGATGAACTTAATTCTTTATTGCTGCAACAGCTTTATTCTCTATACTTGGAGCAGCTGATGAGTGTCAGAGATATAGGGCCCCACACAAATAGTTTGTATAATAAAATAAGCACTTAAAATTTATCATTACAGTATCACTATTAACTAGGATCATAATCCTTAGAAAACATTTCATTCTTTGATCATTGTGACACTGGAAAATCAAAGATGAAGAGAAAACAAACAGGAAGTGCCTGGCAAAGACACCTAAAATAGATGGGATTTGCATAATGGCGTATTATTTCAAAATCATTGATAATACAATCAATAGTGCCCCTGACAGGAGGAGCTATTCAGTCATACATTGATTTTGCTCCTCTTGCCCAGCAAAGCTATTAATAGAAAATTTGGTTATTAAAAGACATTTCAATCAATTTAAAGAGGCAGGATGAAGTCAATCCTTATGAATTAGCCTGTCTGAATCAAGAGAGGCAAAAATCAGAAGGCAGTGGCAATATTCACCTTTTGCTTCGGAACAGAACTATTTCTACCCCTGGCAGAGGTAGTGAAGGTGAAATTAACCCATCTAATTTTTAAAGGAACATATCCTTGGGATGTATTTTGCTTACTTGGCAAAGCCTAAAGCACAAAGGGACTGTCACCACTTCTTCCACCACTTCTTCTTCTGTTACACGAGATGAGGTTGATTTGGTGAAGACTCCAGTTACACTAGCCTAACAATCTGCAGAAGGATACCTCTGTTCCTCGCAGTTCTGCAGTGGAAATAGAATCCCAAGGACTCAAGGGACCTTAAAGGTGCTCCAGTGTGCCCCCATTGCCACACCAATCCCATATTCACAGGGCTTTTGCTCTGTCCCAAGGACTCCCACTCCCTGAGAACACAGATTCATGTTAGTGGTTCTTTTGTTCTATTTACTGGTGGGAAGCAATCAAATAGCTGTTGTTATTTCTTTAAATGGACAGGTTAACCAAAAACAAGACTGGAACAGTGGGGTAGACACAGCCTTTCATCCAGTGACAACTCTTGCACTGCTACTGCACTGATAAGGAACAAATAGAACAACTGATGTCTTGCAATTTTCAACTACCATAATTATTATGAAGAACGTAAGGAAAACTCCTCATTTGTTTTTTTTACATCTCTCTAAAGCTGAACAGTCTACTATAAAATTATGTTTTCTGGAAATGAGCAAAGCAGTTACAAATCTTATGATAACAATAAGTAACTTTTCAATATGGCCAAAATTTTAATGAAAATACATTTTGGTTCAATTTCTAGAAAAAAAAAGCCTTTGGGTAAGAAAGATCAATTTATTTAGTGGAAATATACAGGTCATTCCTTCTGATTTTTGCAGTGTCTTTCCTTTGATGATACTAAGCCAACATCTATACTTCTCAGTATCTCTCATCTGACGGGTCTCAAAAGACCCAAGCACATTCTAACAAGGAGTTCTTATATCAGGTGGTGACTCAGGCAGACAATGAAAAGGAAAGACAGAGCTGGGTTTAATAGTGGAAGCTAAAAAAGAAAATCTCTTCAAAATATATTCCAGTCTCTCATCATTAAGCCAAAGTAGTAACACAGTCCCTTTTTCCAATTTCACCCTCAGTTTGTCCTTGTGTGGTTTCTTTGCCCTAAGACTGCCTTTGATGTCGGGTGAAGTGAGAAATAGACAAGTTGGAGGATTAAGAGAACAGATTTTCCTTTCTAAATCCTCGTGCAAAAGATTTCAGTGAGGATTTCACATATTTAGATACTGCAATGGCTTTTAGAATTTATTTTATTTTTTAAAAAGATTTAACCTCTCTTTAGGCATACTCAGAGGTCAATGGACTGATGGGCACTTTGCATTTCTTAATTCACTTATCTTCACAACAGCCCTAAAAGTAACTTCCACTACTCAGAATTTACAGAGGAGACAATGACTCAGAGAAGTTAAGTAACTTCCAAGGTCACAAAGTGAGATTCCTGTGACTGGCTCTAAAGACCAATATCATTCAATTATGTGACCCATAAGTTCTCTTATTCATTCAACTGTGCAGTATTTTTATGACCACTTTAAAGGATCTGGATCATTATTTTAAATTAATATAGAGGTTTATTGTTTTATCTTTTATGTTAACAAAGACTGCCTATATGAACAATGACAGAATTTCAATTCTATTTTTAAAAGGAACAGAACATATTATATTTGATAATGGCTGTCTTAAAAAGTCAAATCCTTGAGGAGATAAAGGTCCTCTTAGGATTAAAGGAAAAGTGCCATGAACATTAGAGGCTCCCCAACTCTGAGGACTTTGAGGAACCCGGTCAGCAGCCTCCACCTCACAGGGGGCCTGGAGAACAGCAGAATCTCAGGGCCCACCCCACACCCACAAAATCAGGTCTGCATTTTAACAAGAACCCAGATGACAGCTATGCATGTTAAAGTTTGAGAGGCGCTCATCCAGAGAGGACAATGGGTTCTTTTAGTAAGTTGGATAATAAATTAAGAGGCTGATGATAGTTGGGTTTGTGTTTTGGGACTGTCTGCATATTACAATCACATGTGGGGCTTTGAAAACTCTAAAGGCCTGGGCGAGACCCACTCCAG